TTCTTTCCTTAATCCTAAACACTTACCCCAGTGGAGGATCCAGGCATATGTCTGAACTTCTGGCCCCCTCTCCTTCCACCCTGGAAAGGGGATGTAATGCAACAGTGCTATTTCCAATGAGCACCAACAGAGTGTGTTGACCTGTGTGTAGATGAGAAACTGGTCCTTTTCTTCCTCTAGCAAACTGGCATATGAAAGCCCCCTTTGAGATTCTAGATACAAATTATGGAAGAAGAACTTAAATAGAAGTGGGTGAGAGGAGGATCTAGGGCACCTGTTTAGATAATTTACCAGTTCCTTCTGGACCTGTTGGAGCCTGGTCCTCCATGTACCATACCTTTCACAAGTCAAATCACCACTGGTGGTGACTGATTTTAGGACTCATTGGCATTGCATGCCCTTCAGAGGAACCCAGCCTCCCTTTCAATCAATGGGCTCTGCCTCGTGAAAAAACTCAGATAATTTTCCACTGCAGTAGCTGATGTCATCTTTTTGCTCTAACGCTTTTGATTATTTTAAAGAAAATTCATACACATCGAGCAATAACCTTGTCAGCTCTCTATCGATCTCATCCCTAGCAACACCATGACCTACTAGCCATTGACATAGACACCTATGGCTCAAGGCACCCTAATTGCCACTCCAGCTTTGCTTTCCACTGGGTAATTGTATCCCCTTTGCCTCTTGTGACAAAGTAGACCAGCTAGCTTTTGGTACTAGTGAATCTATGTCGCCACCTTGTCCCAGACAGGGCCTTCAGAGGATTGCCACCACTGAGCTTCTCAAAGATGCTAGTGCTTCCCCTACTCCCACCAGGGCTTTTCTTTCTGGCACAATAAAGGGAATGCCCTCAGGGCCATCCCAGGAAACATAGCCAACTGGTAGACTCTTGGGTCTGATGATTCTAATATTCCCAGCTCTCTGTGCCTTCTGTTCCTTTTTTAATTGTGTGCCAAAGAAGTTCTGGCATCTCACCTTATTTCCCATAGGCTATTGTCATGAGAACAAGCACCATGTTGCAAGGCACCTGCTACAAATTAGGTCATTGCTTGCTCTCTAGGCCAAGAGGAACTGCTTTATTCTGACAAAGAAGGAAAGAGGTTCTTCTACCAGCCAACAGATTTAGGGACATTTGTAGGTTCAAGATTTTCAGGGCTTGTCACCCAAATGTCTCTATTCCAGATCACAGGATCCAGCTTTTTCCCTATCAGGGTCCTGACGTGGACATAGGACATGTCCCGTGTGGCTGCAAGCTGAGTTTTGCTTTTCAGCTCTGCCACCATACAATCAGATCCAGCCTGATTTTCAGCACAGTCTGTTTTGTGGCTGTCAAGAGCTAAGAGTGACCTTAAAGAGTTCACAAGCATGCCTTCAGTTGGCCAGTGGTTTCCATGAACCTGTCCTTGTCTCTCCAGAAAACCTCCAGTACTGTCAGAAGCCATCAAACCCCACAATCCTTATGATGATCATCTCCCTCACACTGATCATGTGTGGCAGCCACATGACCTCCCAAAGTCTTGCTTTCTACTTGCCTCTCATTCCAAGTAGCCATGGGGGAAGCTTTAGAAATTGTAATATTCCTATATGCCATGTATGGCCCTGTTTTTCATGAGTAATGGGGCCCCTATTGCTTTTAGAGAGACAGGAAACCCAGCTCCCACATCCCATCCTGAAAATCTGCTTCTTGGGGCCACTTGTGGTATCACTTGTCTGTAGTTCATGGGGACACAGAGCATGAAGCAATAATGCTTGCCCATTGATATTTTATTGAGGGTGACAAAAATAAGGGGGAAAGGGGAGGGAAGCAGGCCAGGTGGGAAGGAAACACAAGATTGTGCACTTTTGAGCAGGCCATGTCTTCAGAAGGACACACTGCCAGTTGCTTAGTCATGCCTATAGCCCATGGGGCCAGATGGGACCACTATGATCCAGATACCAGGTCTGTCCTCTCGTCTTTCATTGGTCAAAATTTACTCCGAGGTTTAACTCCCCTGCATATCTGAGTAGAGTTACCTGGCCCCCTGTAAGCAGATCCCAGGTCCTGTGGTGTGGGTGGCCATCTGAGTCCAGAAAGGGTGGGAGGAGCCACAGCCTCCCACCATCCTGCCAGGGCTTGAGGGGGCCCATGACAGAGCCTAGTCTTCACCATAAGGCTGTGACATTCCACATTGTTAGGAGGGCCAGGAGGCTATGGGACCAGATGACACTCCAGAGGTACACAGATTGGATCCAGTACAGGAGTACTGAAGGCCAGAATGTTTAATGCAGGCTTTTCAACATATAAAATCTGCATAGGTCCTCCCAAAGACGTGAACGGCTGTCTGGGGGTCAGTACCTCTGAATCCCAGGTGAGCAGCTGTGTGATCCTGGGCAAGTTCCTCACATCTCCCAACCTGTCAAGTGGAGCAATTACCTTTGGCTCACAGAGTTGTGAGAATTGCGTTAAAATGTGATATAAAGAACATTTTTTAAAAAGATCTTTTGAAAAAAAAAAAAGATCTTTTGGAGGGCACCTTGATGGCTCAATGGTTGAGCATCTGCTTTGGCTCAGGTTGTGATTCTGGGGTCCTGGGATCGAGTCTTGCATCAGGCTCCCCACAGGGAGCCTGTTTCTCCCTCTGCCTATGTCCCTACCTCTCTCTGTGTGTCTCTCATAAATAAATAACTAAAATCTTTAAGAAAAAAAAATTTAAGAGAAAAAGAGAGTGGGGAGGGGCAGAGGGAGAGAAAGGATCTCAAGCAGACTCCCCATGGAGTGGGGAGCCCAACTCAGACCTTGTTCTCACCACCCTGATACGACCTGAACTGAAATCAAGAGTCGGGTGCTTAACCACCGAGCCACCCAGGCATCCCGAGGACATTTTTTAAGTGGTAAAGAACTCCATATAGAAACATGACAGATGTCGCCACATGGAAAGATTGATATCGTGAACTGAACAAAATACCCTGACTTGCTTAAGTAGAAAGGCATTATAATAATCAGTGTTACTTTGACCTCAGCTGACAAAACAGTGGCTCAATTTTGTGACTCATTCAACTGCTTCAAGCTAGTGGTAAAAAAAATTCCCCCGGGGAGCCCCATCTCCAGCATTTTCTTCCCATGCGTCCTCCCTCCATGCTGGCCCCTGCAGGCAGCACCAACATATCGCTTGTCCTCTGTTGTGTACCCAGCCTCAAATGCTCTGGCCCTTAGTAGGTGCTCACGGATACTATGCATGGAATGAATGAATGAATGAAGTATCTCCACATCTCTTTTTTTTTAAAGATTTCATTTATTTATTTATTTATTTTTTATCTATCTATCTATCTATCTATCTATCTATCTATCTATCTATTTATGAGAGACACACACAGAGGAGCAGAGACATAGTTCATTAGAGGGAAAAGCAGGCTCCTTCCTGGGGAGCCTGATTCTGGACTCAATCCCAGGACCCCAGGATCACCACCTGAGCCAAAGGCAGACACTCAACCACTGAGCCACCCCCGTTCCCCCATCTCCCCGTCTTTGCCCAAGAGTTGACATGGAGAACAACAGTCTTGGGGCAGCACTCTGCAGGAGAGAGGTCCCTAGGAAACCGGTCTGCAAACTGGTCTGCAGGGTAATTCATACTTAGAGTGTGCGTTTACGTGGGGTGACCTGGGTGCCCACAGACACTGAGAACAGGACTAAATAAATGTTTCTTTAGGAAATAAGCTACGGTGTCTGACTCTCCACTCCTGGTCCCGGGGGGGCTCCTGGTTCCCTCCCTCGCTCAACCTAAAAATAGGATTGCCCATGCCTTGGGGGCCTTCTGGAAGGTCAGTCCACCAGTCCAAGCGCTTCCCAAGCGCTTCCATCCAGGGCAGCTGCGCGCACCTGCGCTGCGGGCTGGGAGGCCGGGGGCAGCGGGTTTCAAAGAAACGTGACAGGCCACTTCTCGACGACTTGTTGATAATCTTGCGTCCAACAGAGGAGTCGGAGGGGGAGAGGTGGAGAGGTCCTCCCCGGGCCACGGGCAACTCCCTCCAAGACGCAGCGAGTGGTCGGAGAGGTCCCCGTGCTGGCAGTCAGGAGGGACGGCAAGGGCCCTCGCCCCGGGTGGGGCGGCTCGCACCTTCCCGCCCCGGCACCCAGGGGAGCCTGCCGGTCCGAATGGGGCGGGGGAGGGGAGGCAGTCCGCGCGCACCGAGCGCAGAAAGGGGTCTCCACGAGTCGGTCCCGGCCCCCTTCCCGCCGCCGCGGAGAACTTGGGGGCAGGGCAGGCCCGGAGCAAGTCCCCCGGGAGCCGGGAGTCTTCTTCCTCGCGGGTGAATAAATAAATTATTAAGCGCCCAGTACACAATAGCCTCGCTAGATGGAGACGAGGAATCACTGCAGCGGCGCTGGCGGCGGCGGCGGGGAGCGCGGGCGGGAGCGCAGCCCGGGGCGGGAGGCGGGCGAGGCTCCGGCGGGGCTCACGTCTGTGTTTTCCTTTTTCGTGCATTATTTATTTCGCCTCCGCCCGCAGCCCTGCTGCCCCAGCGGGCGCCCCGGGGCAGCGCCTCTCGCGGGCCGGCGCGGCCGGAGAGGGGAGCTCGGGCACCCCCGCGCCCCGGGCAGCCGCGCGGCGCCACCGGGAAGGGCGGGGATCCGGGGAGGCTCGCGCCGCCCGCTCCAGGCGGCTCTGAGGAGACTTTCCCCGCCCCCCCGGCCCCCCCTCCGGCTCGGCCGCCCCCCCCCCGCCCCGGCCCCGGGCGCGGCCGGGAGCCTCCGCGAGCCGCCGCGCCCTGCGCCCTGCTCCTGCGCCCCGTGCGGGCGCACAGCTCCCGGCCCCCGCTCGGCAGCCCGCGAGGCCCCAGCCGCGCGCAAACTTTTGCTCCGGTGCCCGGCGCTCCTCCCCGGCGTGTGAAGCCCCCGGGCGCCCGCGCAGCCGCCAGGGTGAGGACCGAGGCCCCGCCTAGAGGGCGGGGGACCGGGGAGGCGGCTGGCTTTAAATGGGGGCCGTCCGGCGGCTCGGGAGCAGTCCGCCGCGGGGGGAGCGTGGACCTCCCTTCCCCGCGCCGAGGAGCGGCGGGGCCGCCGCCAGGCAAGGTGGCGTGAGGCCCTGGAGCGGCGCGGGCGGGGACGGAGACGGGGGGAGGCTCGCGCCCCGGAGCGGGAGGCCGGGGAGAGCGCGCGAGGGCAACCGGGGTGCGCACGGAGGTGCCCATGTTGCAGTGTGCGCAGTGAGGGCCGGCGGGGCAGAGAGGGTGCACGCAGCGTGTGGTTTCCCGGTGCCGTGCATGCAGGGTCCGCGAGCGCGCGGGCGGGAGCCGGTGGGTGTGCAGGCAGGGTGAGAGGTGCCCGCCCCGGGTTTGAAGTGTGCTCACCGTAGGAGTGAGTTGTGCATGACTGGGGAGGTTTCTGGGAGAAATGCACCGGGCTCGGTGAAGAGTGCCTGGCTGTTTCTGGAGGTGTGCACGGAACCAAAATGTGCACGCAGGATTCTGGGGGTGTGCACGGGGCCGAGGTATACACATAAGGTTCTGGGGGGTGTGCACCAGGGTTGAGTGTTCTGGGATGCATGGCTTCTGTGAATGTGCCCGAAGGGTCAGCCAATGTGCAAGCTGGGTTGAAGGGGCCGCTGGATTTACGAGGGTGCCCCAGGGTGCGGGGCGTGCCGGCCCACGTCCGACTGCTGCGTGCGCGGGTGCTCGCGCCGGCGATGGTGCCCGCGCGGCGCCCGCCTCACCCGGGCTTTGCTCCCCTGACAGTTCGCCCCGGGAGCGCTGGTGCCACGGGCCGAGATGCTTCTCCGGGACTTGGTGCTGCGCCGTGGCTGCTGCTGGCCTTCACTGCTGCTGCACTGCGCGCTCCACCCGCTCTGGGGCTTCGTGCAGGTGAGCGGCGGCGGCGGGGCGGTGTGGGCTGACTTCACGGCTGGAGGATCTCCTCCCGGGCAGGACCTGGGGGAGGGGTGGCCTTCACTCCCACGACCCTGGCTTCCCGCAGCCGCCCCTCTGATTGCTCCTGGGGAGAGTTTACAAAAGAAAAGGTGCATGCCCTCCCACTCTCCCTACGCACCCCCCTCCCCCAATACTCGGGCCCTGAAAAGATGCGGGGAAAACTCCAAGGTAAAGCTCAGCCCTGGCCTGCTAGGCCTACAGGACAGGGCCTTGGAACAGTGCCGTCTTGATAATAACATTCTGTTGCAGAAATGGGGGGAAAGAAACCTTGGAGCTTTTACAAACTTAAAAAGAAAATGATCCCAAGAAGGATAACATTCTTTATTTGCCACCAGCATCACTAGTAAACTCCCACTTGGCGTTCTCAGACTGGACTTACCATACCTAGGGCTGTGCTTCCTGCAGGCAGTGGAGTTGGGGACGTGGACAGATGGTGCATGGTGGCTACTCGTGGGGATGTAGAAAGAAATCGTCCGTCTGTAAGGACTGCCTGGGGCTGGAGCCCGGGAGACCCCTGGGCACAGGCCAGGTGGCCACCAATTGGGGTTACTTCTGTTAGGGTCAGAGAGGGTCAGACAGCATGGCCCCTGGCACCTCCCAGAATGTCCATGATCAGTGATGCCATGGAGTGGTGAAGTGGACTTTGGTGTCAGCTTTGCATCTTGAGCCCCAGCTCTACCCCTCACCGGCTCAGGGCTTCAGGCAATGCCTCTCTGGGCCCTGGTATCTCGGTCCTCACAGTGCTGTCGTTAAGCCCCCCAAGGGAGTAAAGATTGCTTAGTGTAGCGCCTGGACCATTATGAATACTAGTGGTGGCTGTGGCTGCCATTATCTATGGAGTAATCGTCACGCTGCTCTTCCATCTGGGTGGCCAGGTACTCTCCTGATCACTGCACAGTCTGTTGGACATTTTTGAATTTTCAGCGGTTCCGCAGGCACTGGAGGACATTTTTACTGTTTTGAGCATTGAAATCCCCAACTCTGGGGTTTTTTGCGGCTTTGCGTTCTTCTGGTGGCATTTGTCAAGGGGGTAGGCATTGGGGATCTTTCGCATGGTTGCCCTGAGTAGGGAGTGATACACCAAAGAAGGGGTGGTAGGATGAGACCACTTGCCGGTCTGCTGAATCCTTGAGCTGCCCCAGACGATGGGGCCCCGCTGGGAACCAGCTGTCCGTCCTGCGTCCTGCTCTGATGTTCCTCTGATGTTCCGATGGTGACTGGGGTGACCATCTGGGAGCACCGGGAGCTCTCATGCTGGAAGCAGGATGTCGGTTGAGTGGGTGGGTCAGCCAGGAGCCCCCACTCCCAGCTCCAGCCCCAGCTTCATCCTCAGCTCTCATCCCTGGCTTGCCTCTGTCTCTCTCACGATTGTTTTCCTTCCGTAATTTGTTAATGTTGAACGTACAGTTTTGTTTAATGTGTGAAACGGCAGTTATTAAACTCAGCTGTGCCTCCTCAGGATTCCAGATTTTGTCACTTCTAAACACTTGGGCGGCTTGGGACCAGCTTTCCTTGTGCAAGTTTTTGTTGAACCTCAAATGTTAAGTTCACTTCATTTTTCGTATATGTGCTGCTGAAGCGAGCACAAGTTCACTTCATTTTTATATTCATCTGTTTACAGTTTTCCCTAACACTCTTAGGGAGCAGCGTGATGCTGTTGTCAGCCTCCAAGGCTGAAATTCTGTGGTATGGACTAGCAGGATTCAAACAGCAGACCCCCTACCTCCCCACCTTCACCACCAAAAGAAATAATGTCATGAAAGCAGCTCAGTTTTTTAACAATGTCCTTCAACCAGGCAGTGCTTACCCAAGTGTGTGTGTGTGTGTGTGTGTGTGTGTGTGTGTGTGCGTGCGTGTGCGTGTATGTGTTTCAGATGCTGTTACTCAATACAAATCAATTTTCGTAAAAATCAATTAGAAAAGGAGTCCTCCAGACAAGTAAAATGGGCAAAATGTTGGCAGGAGGCTCTGGAAAAATTAATCTACAAATGATAAGAGACTGAGAAAGCCAAGGGCAGAGGGGCTCTCGAATGGATGGATCTGGTTTTTTAAGCAAAAGAGCTGAATCCAGTGGAACCAACGTGAGTAGAGAAAGCTACAAGTGCATGAAGCCATGTATTTCCCTCTAAGCAGAGAGACTGAAATCTGTCACATCCTAGGAATTTCTTGAATATAGAGAAAGAACTCAGAGCTCTCTGTGCTTTCATAAGCATTTTGCCAGAAGACTCCCCCAAGTTGTAAACATTTGCAAGAGTGAGACCAACATTTTCAAAGAGCTGTAATTAATAGCATAATTGGTGAAGCAAGAGACCTGTGGTCAGGTGCCCCCTGCCTCCCTCCCCCCCTCCCCCAGCAAAGCACCAGGTTCCTACCTTGGAATCAGCCTGGAGCCCCTGGCTGCTGCCCAGAGGATAAGAAACGTAATCATTAAAGTCAGATGACATTTAAATTGCCGCAAGGTTGGTGGGGGCATTCCTTAGCCTTTCCCCTTTCTTCTTTAATATGTCTAGAATTGAGATTCTAAGCTTTTGTGATTTGGGGTTCTTGTAAGTTCACTTCCAGATGATTCCTTTTTTTGCAAGCAAAGAGGATGACAGGCTGGCAAATTTATTAGGTGTGACAGGAGTGTGTCTCATCAAGTTACTGTGGTGCTGGCCTGTCTCCATAAAAGATACCAGGAGCCATCATCTTTGTGGACTTTCTCTAGGGAGACAAGCTCTGACCCCGGCCTATAGGTCTCTGTGCTGAAGAGGAGCCACAAGCAATGCTGAACTCCTCCTATGATCAGTCACTACAGCTTGGGTTATCTTGTCAGTGGCATTTATTGGTCACCTGCTGTTTGCCAGGCCCTGTGTTAAGTGCAGAGGACCTAGTGGTCCCTGCCTTCATGGCAGTGACAGTCTGATGCTGGAGAGATAATTAAGTAATTATAGGTAAGAGAACTCAACAGGAGCAGATGGCTTGGGGATGAGATCTTGTGGAAGAGTCCGAGAAGCCTCACAGATGTAGTGCTTTGGCTGAAGCATAGACAAGGACAAGACAGGAGTATGGTCAGCATAAATGAAGTGTCCACAGGAGAGAATGGGGCATTGGAAGAACCCTGGGGGCGGAAAGTCCCAGATAAGGCCACTGTTGTAAACCACTAACATAGTGCCTTACATCCTGGACTTGATCCTGAGGCCTGTGGGAGCCATGGAAGGTTTTAAGCAAGAAATGACTCAGTCTCAGGCTGGCATTTTCGAAATCTCGGTCTAGGCCCAGGGAAAAGACGGACTGGGGGAGGTGGGAGTGAGGCAAGGGGCAAAGACTCTAGGGAGGGGAAGGTTGCCAGATCTAGCAGGTAAAAATATAGGGCATCCAGTTAAATTTGACTCTCAAACAGCAGCTCATGCTTTAGTGTAAGTATAGCCCATCCAATATTTGGGATATACTTACACTAAAATTTGTTGTTCAGTCTAAAATTTAACAAGGTGTCCTATATTTTATCTCGTGGTTCTGTGTGAGAGGCTGCTGCTGCCCAGTGGGAGAAAGGATGGCATCCTGGTTTAGGATGGTGGTGGTGGGAATGGGGAGAAATTGATGATAGATGCGGGGAGGTAACATCCCCTGAACCAGAAAGTTGGGTGGACTGGCCAGGAGTGAGTGGGAACTGATGGCCATGGAGCAGCAGGGCCACCAGGCCATGGTGGCAAGTACCAAATCCAGGTGACTGTGAGACTTACCTGTGCCTCAGCCCCCTCTCCATGATTGCAGCATTGACAAGATCCTGGCGCCAGGGAGATGCTACAGAGCAGGGGCAGGAAGGCAGGGGACAGCAGGACTAGACCAAAAGTGGTCACGGGAAGTAATGATGCCACCTTTGCTTCTGTGGGCCTTCGGCAAGTCATCGACCTCTCTGAGCCTCTGCTCCTTCTTAGCCACGTCCAGCCAAGAGCTGGTGGCTTCAGGGAAAGTTCCTTCTCCTTGTGGGACTCCCCAAGATGCAAACCAAGCAAGCCAGGTGTTGAGACAAGCTTTCAATGCTGAGGTCTCCCCTCTACTGGTCTAAATACAACACCACCCATCCACAGGACCCCCAAGTGGACCCAGAGTTGGGGAGCAGAATAGATCCTGTGTTTCTCCACGGATGGGCAGACCATCCCCCAACACATCTTTTCATTATGTACCAACTGAATGCAGGGCCCTGTGAAATCTTGGTACATGACTTAGCCTCGCGGGGCCTGGCCTCCCTCTGCCCCCCTGTAAGCCTCCATGATACCACTTGCCTCTCTCAGTTATCCTTGCCAGGAAACCAGAACCCGGTTCCCATGGCTGACGCCTAGCAGGGCTCAGGAAGGCACACCTGCTAGGACTAAGGAAACACAGGCCTACCCACCTGCCTGCCCCAAGAGGCTCCCTGGCTCAGTGTGGGGAACAGACATTACGAAACAGTGAGCAGAGCGCCACCCAGAGATTACAAGGTGAAGCAGCAGCCCTGGGCAGGTGGATCTAATGGGAAGGATGGGAGTGGGGAACATGGGGTTCGGGAAGTTGGCAAGTAGATAAAGGTCAGTGTAACCTACTGTCAGTTAAGAGCGGCTCAGTGGCCACAGGCTTGCGCTGGACCAAACTCTGGTGAACAGCCCCAAGTGGGGCCTGCCCCTCAGAGAGAAGTTCAGACACCCCAAACTGGACACTTTTGTGGGGGCCATTGGCTAAGCAGTTGTGTTTGCTCCCATTTCACTGGGGCCATCTTCCGAGAGACCAAGGAACCATCGATTGGTTTAAATGCCATGTGCTCCTTTGTTGCCATGCCTCCCCCTTCAGCCTTGAAACTTGGCCCCGGCTTCCCTGCAGCTAATTTTGTCACATTAAACTCTTGTACACATCTGCGCCCTTGTACCCTCTCACAAAAATGGGTCATCGTGTTGGGCCAGGTTAAGCAGATGTGTTCCTCATGAACTCTCGCATAAATTGCCCCTCGGAGAGTGGAGGACTCCTTGTTTTGGTGGTGGCATTGCACGATGTTTGCATACTGGTAGAGTCCAGCAGAGAAGAGACTTAGAGGCCGGCATTGGCAGAATGGAGCCTTCGAGCAACCCCCAAGGTCTCAGAAGGTCGGAACCAAGAGGAGGGAGGTTGGATGAGCACGGGAGAGCTGACAGGTGCATTGGTGAGAAGCCAGTGGGGGTGCCTCTGCCATGTAGGGAGTTAGGCATCCCCGGGAACTAACTAGAAGAGGCTCACCATCCAAGGATCTGCTCTTCCCAATGGGAGATGAGATCACCTTTGGAGTTTGAAACACAGTCAAAGGCCCTCTAAGAACACTAAAAGGTGGTGAGCAGCAGCTTCTTGGTCTCCTAGATATTAAGATTGGGCTGTAAATCAGCCCACCTCCAGCTGCCATCACCCAGTGGTCATCACCCAGCCTATTTGCATCGGAGCCCCAGGGGCAATCTCTGCCAGCCCAGGACACTTGAGGTGGAAGGGCTGCCTTGACCTCCAAAGGCAGTCTATGGAATGCCCTTCCCGGCAGGCCACAGGTAGCTGGTTGCGGAGAAACTGGCATTCTGGGTTTCTACTCCCCGGAGATGAGCCAGAGAAGTTACTAGGGACTTCACTGAGGTTGGTGATGCCCACCAACTCTTTCCTTCATGCCTTTAAATCCGCTTGGTCCCTGGGACAGGCACACAACCCTAGGCTCATGGGTTAGGGCGCTCTGCCCTCGGGAGGGGTGCTGGTGGTTCATCTAAACCAGCAGTGCTCACACTGGCTATACAGCAGAAGTCTAACCTGGGAAAATGAAACAAAATAGCCATGCCCAGCTCCACCTGCAGAAATTCTGATTTAATTGGTCTTGGGAAAGGATCAAGCATGAGTATTTTTTAAAGTTGCCTGGGAGATTCTCATGTGTGGTCAGGGTTGGGAACTGCTGGTCAAGCATAGCCCCAGCCTTATTTACAGGTGAAGGACTAAAGACTGGTGTCGAAAAAAAACATCAGATCGGGAGTCAAGAGGCATGGATTCTGGGCCAGGTTTTAATATTCATTCATTCACCAAATATTTATTGGATGCCAGGCATTCTCTTAGTGAGAGAAAAAAAAAAAAGGCGGGGCCCCTCCCTCCATAGAGCTTCTTATCCAATGGTGAAGACAGGTAGGAAAGAGATAATCACCCAAATGTCGATTTTTGCCCCACAGAGTACACACCGGTGCCAGGAGAGCCTATAAAGGGAGATCTGAGCTGCTCAGAGATGCTTCCCTGAGGAGCTTGTAGCCAGTAATGGAAGAAGTCAGAGAAGGGTGTGAGGAGAATGTTGTGGGATACTGGAGAAGCATATGCAAAGGAGGGGGTGCTGTGGCCGGGGTCCAGGGCCTGGAAGGAGGGCATTGAGGGCAGAGCAGAAGCTGAGAGCATGGCCTCCGGGTGGCTCAGTCAGCTAAGCGTCTGCCTTTGGCTCAGGACATGATCTCAGGGTTCTGGGATCCAGTCCTGAATCAAGCTCCCCGCTCAGCAGGGAGCCTGCTTCTCCCTCTCCCTCTGCGCCCAACTTGTGCGCGCTCTCTCTCTCTCTCAAATAAATAAATAAATAAATAAATAAATAAATAAATAAATAAAATCTTAAAAAAAAAAAAAAGAAGCTAAGAGCATGGGTGAGGTGGGGCTGGAAACGTTGCCAGGGGCCTCTCAAGCACGGCCTCATGGCTACGTGAGCTCCGGAGCTGTGGACAAGCGCCCAGGGATTATTGGGAGGATGTGGACAGTGCGGTCGGGTGTGTTTCCCACGAGACCACTTGGGCCACCTTTGCTCACTTAGCCTGGCTGGGCAAGCTTCCTCCCTCAGGATGGGGGTGCCTTGGCCCTGTGTGGACACAGGAAGGCTTTCGGGAGCTGTGGGTGGAGAGGAGGGGCATGCTTGGCCTTGCGCTGTAGCCATGAGGCCTGCAGGAATGGCTGGTTCAGGTTACAGAGGAGTCAGAATAGGCATCCTGTCACCGCCTGGGCGTGGGAACCTCGGGCAGCCACTCCTCTTGCCCAGTCTCCCTCTTAAAAGCCAAGTCACTTGCCGCCGTCTCATAGCAGGTCCCTGGCAGAGCTGGGGATAAGACGTGGGTCTCTAAACCTGCTAGGCCAGCCTCACACACCATTATTCTCCTTTGAACCCCCCCAACTCCTGCCTTCCTCCCGCAAGGGTCTGGGGGGCAGGACCCACAGTTGCAGCCTGGCTGGGTGTGGAGGGGTGGGCGGGCCTGTTTCTGCTCCAGTGGCCTCACTGTCCTCTCTTGGGCACCTGCGCCCATTTCTGCAGGTGACGCACGGTGAGCCGCAGAAGTCCTGCTCCAAGGTGGCTGACAGCTGTCCACACATCTGCCAGTGCCGACCCCCTCCCTTGCTGCCCCCGCCGCCGCCACCCCCACCGCCTCCCAGACTCCTCTCGGCCCCAGGTAAGGAAAGGCTCGCTCCGTCTCTGGGGTTTGCTCTGTCGCCGGGGTTCTTTTTGTGTTTTCCGGGCCCGGGAAGGACCTGGGAGCAGAGCAGAGGACAGCCTCGCTTCCTTTGTATTTTTCCACTGGCCGAGCAGGAGGGAAGCCAAGGCCCAACTTTCCCTGCAGACTGCAAAACGCCTTTCCCACAGAATGTTCCTGCGAGATGGAGGAGGATGTTTCTCCATCGGTTAATCAGATAAAAGTCAATCTCCATTTGATGAGTGACTCGGCCTGGATGGTTCTGAAGGCCAGAGCTTGGAAGGGGAGGGGGAGCAGCCAGCGGACTGGTCTTAAAGACCCCACACGTGCACATGCTTTCACTTCTCTATTTTAACTCACGCGTGAGGAAGGCGGTTGGTAACGACCTGACCCAACTTGGAGGCTCTGCGAGTGAACTCATGCAGATGCCTCACATCCATTTGCAGCGAGTTCTGCTCGAAACCTCCCTCTCACTGGTCTGCCTTGATTTCATCTATGAGCAATTTGATTGCCTGGTCATTCGAACAAAGGAGGGTTTCTTTGGCCAGAAATGGCCTCCTCCTGACTCCTGACTCGGAGGGGTTAAGTTGCCGCATGCTGACAATTGCGAGTTGAGAAGGTCTCTCTGAACAAGAGATCCTGTATCTTGGATGGGTCCCTCCGGGTTCAGCCTGTACGCTGCCTGTGGTAGTGCATGGATCTATCTCATTAAACACGTCTCCTTTGAATTATTTTGGGCATATTTTAAATAACGCTGACAATGCTCATTCTCTGGTAGACTGTGTCTTCAGCCTCTCGGGGTCCAGACAGTGATGCAATGTTCTGAAGGATCTTTGCCATTCAGATGCATTTCTGCACTTTGTCTGTAGGGCCCTTACCTGTCTCCATTTGTCGCTGACACCTGTGGCCCTGTGCTTCTCCGAGTGTGGCCCTCAGTGTCACATGAGCCATTTCTTTTAAAGTGTGGCTTAGGAATTGGCATGATAAGTTCAAAGATGATCCAAAGGCAAGTTAAAGTCAAGAAGCTTGGCCTACCTGGCCCTCTGCTCCTGGCCTCTGCAGGACCCTGTAGATGCTCACCTCCTCCTCTCTCCTGAGGGAATCCCCGGGCCATGCTATGGGGCCCAGCCCCAGGCACCTGCCTCTAGAGATCACTCCCTTCCTTTAGAAATCTTCCCCTTCCCTCTGTTTGGCCTCTGGGCTTGTGCTGTCTGCAGGTGTGCTTGCATCTGATGGGCCCATATCCCCCCAGTGGGAGTCCCTTCTACAACCTGTGCTAACTGGGCTTCTGCACCAGACGCGGAGGGGAAAGACCATTCTGGTCTTCTGGGATCTTTCTGTCTCGAAGGGAAGGCCTTAGTGTCCGCAACTGGCAAAAAAGTGGCCTGAGAGAGCACAGGTGGTCTCAAGACCTTTGAGTACTTGGGCCACAGAAAACAGTACCATTCATCTGGCCCAGAAGGAATAAGTAGGATTATTTTAGGTTGATAAGAAGGGTATGAGAAAAGGACATCAGGCAGAAGGAACGGCATGGGCGGAGGCTCGGAGGTATGACTTTGTGAGACTCATCATGGGAGTCACAAGCCCCTTGGTGGGTTTTAAGGAGTGATCCAGGGGCGGACTGTGAGGGGCCTCGTGTGCCGAGCTATCACCTTTCATCCTGTGAATCACTGTTTGCCAAACGTGATTCACCCATATCCAAACACGTCCTGTTCTTTGCCTTGGTTTTTCCTTAAATAGACTCACCTTTGTGTTTATACAAATTCATTTCCAAAGAAAACTTTATAGAACTTCCGTCAGTGAAGAACGGGTATCATTTGCATAGTAGAAGGTGACCATAAAAACAAATGCAGCAAACACCAAACAATGTCTCAGAGCTCTAGCTTGTTGTAGAGGGTTCCAGGCTCAAGGCTTCCCCTCTTTTTGTTAAAAGGGATAGAAGCCAGTGGTAGACCGTTGTCAGAGCCCTCGTGGGACCACGTGGAGATTTTCTCTATAAAGAAATCAGAAGGCTTGTGAGAGAACCCACGGGGGCCCAAGTTTCTTGTTCTGTCTCAGTGTGTTAGTGTGCAGAGTCCATGTGCCATCTGCAATCAGCTCACTTGACTGCAGGGACAAGCACCCCACGCTTTAGGAATCTGCTACGGATAGCTGCAAGCCCGCAGAGGCGTTAAGCGGGGGAACTGGCATGATTCTGTGTTGTCTTCTTCAGAAAGATCAACTTCCCTGACAATGTGGAGAATGGGCTTGGGCTGAGCTGCCAGACTGTGGAGCTGAGCGGGGAACTCAGTGTCAGACCACCCACGAGGGCCTGGCGCCAGGCTGGGTGCTACAGAGAAGGGGAAGCGGGCAGGGAGTGCCTCTGGTGAGGGGACAGAGGCCTCCTGTTGGGCTTTGGGACTGAGGGCTTCTGGGGCTTGACCCTATGGCAGGGCTTCTTCAGTTACACGGAGCAGAAACGCCTCTTGAAGTGGCTGAAGCCATGCTAAAACCAGGGCGAGAGATGTTAGTTCCTTGGCTCATGTGTCAGGATTTCCCAGCAGCAGACCTCGTATGATGGTGATACTGGATTTCTGTCTCTGCCTCTCTGTCTTCTGGTTTCTCCTGGGTTGCTTCTTCTCCCAGGCTGGTGCGGTCCCTGGGGCTCCAGGCTCCGGGACTCCATCACCCTTACTGTCAGTAATCTTCCCACAAAGGGAGCTTCCCTTTCTGGATCTCTCAGCCAAAGTCCTGGGGCTGACTTTCACTGGACCAGCTTGGGTCACACGTCTGTCCTTGATCAGTGGTGGTGGCGGCCTACGGGAGGGAAGAAGCCGATTTGTCAGACCTGGGCCACATGACCCCCCTTGGCCTTGGCCGACATGGAGGGAGGTCAGAGGAGGAGAGGTGGCTCTCCAAGGGAAGAGCCAGGTGGAGCAGCGATAGCTCAAGGATGAGGACGTGGACAGTGGGCAGGGATAGGACAGAGGATGCCGCCCTCAGCTGTGACCTACCTGCAGACATGGGAGGCAGATTAGACCATTGGCAGAGAAAAGATTTTGTATATCCTTTCCATCCTGCTTGAGCTCAGCCTCACCCCTGCACACGAGCAGTACCCAATAAATGTCAGAAAGAGATAGAGCCACATCCACAACCTCAGAGTGTTCTACAGTCCCCAAAGAAGTAGCCCCCACCCCCCACCTCAGCGGGCGCTGGGCTTTGGTGCAGTGAAGCCCCCCTGTGGTCATTTCATTCAGAAGGTGTGCACAGAGCTGGGCAGGTGCCGTGCACTGTGCCAAGGGCTAGGAATCAGCAGTGAGCAAGAGAGGGGCAGCCCCTGCCCTCATGAACTTCAGTTTGCAGAGGGAGTTCGCAAGAGTGTCCTTTCCTGCCATCTTTCCGGAGATGCTGTTTCTAGGTGCGTGTCAGCCTTTTGCCCATTTGTTCCATGGATGTGCTTTGCACCCCTTCTGCTCACAAGGGCCTCTCCTTTGCTGGCCAGTGTGTGCCCAGCGTTTGCCTCGGGCACGCTGGAGGCACAAAAAGGTGCACAGGGACGTGTCCTCCCCAGCGGGGGCTGGAGGGGAGGACCTGGGAAGGCGTGAAAGAACTCTCCAGTAGATGCTGGACGGGCTGGAGCAGAGGGAGGCTGGCCGGCTAGTGGAAGAGAGGGAGCGGCTGAAGCAAAGCTTCAAGGATCAAGCGGAAGTCTCTCTGCTGAAGGAGTGTCCGTCTGCCGGAGTGTGGGCTTATAGACTCACCTCTGGGTGTGTACAAATTTATTTCCAAAGAAAACTTTATAGAACTACTGTCAGTCAAGAACCGGTATCATTTGCCTAGTAGACGGTGACCATAAAAACAAATGCAGCAAACACCAATGTTTCGAAGTTCTAGCCTGTTGTGGAAGGTTCCAGGCTCAAGGCTTTCCCTCTTGGGTCTAGGCTAGAGGAAGAAAAGAGAAGAGAGAAAGCTCTGTGCATCCTTATGCAGACCTGTATGGCCTCCCATAAAAGTGACCCTTAGAAATTGTTGGGTGTTCTCCACTTGGCCAGGCGGGCAGGCCTCCCTCCGCCTCCAAACAGCACGCTGCTGCTTCTGGTACCCAACTTGTCGTGTTTTGCCCAGGACTGTCCTGGTTTGAGTGCTGAGCGTCCTGCAGCCTCACCAGGACAGTGGGTCTCCTTTTGGGCACTCTTCTGGCAAAGGCGAGGGTGGTTTTGGGGTGTTGATTTATTTGGTTTTGGTGTGTTTGTTTTGTTTTGTTGTATCATGAGACTTTCAGGGACACTGGCACCCCAGTTTCCAGCTGGAACTCATGGCTCACAGGGACAGCTCCGCGATGTGTTCCTGGGGGGTGGGGGTGGGTCCGGGCCGTTCCTCCCGGCCCCCCTGGGAAGTGTACAGCCGTGCCTGAGTCCCATCTGCCCCTGGGAGGGAGCACGGAAGAGCATCTCCACTCTCCGCTCTTTGTTTCTCAAGCTCTGCCCACAACCCTTGGCACTTAAAATGAAGTGTCCTCTGCACTTTGTAAACCTGTGCAAGCTGTGGGTCGTTGGGAGACACATGACCAGGGGTTCTCAAATGTGAGCGCAGTCACAATCCCGTGGAGGGCTTGTTTCAACACAGGTTGCTGGACCCGATCCCCTGAATTCTTGCTTCAGTAGGTCTGGGTGGAGCCTGACGTTTTGCATTTCTCACATATTCTCAACTGCTGCTGCTGGCGAGGGGTACACACTTTGAGAACCAGTGTCCTAGCGAATGACAGTCAGGTCAGGGGACTCTAGAGGCAGACCCGGCCCTTCCACTCCTAGCTCTGTGACGCTGGGCACATCACATTCCCTTTTAGGGCCTCAGTTCTCTCATCTGTATAGTGGGGCTTGTGGTACCCACTGGAGAAGGGATTGCTGGGAAGACTGGAGATGACACAGGCTGCATGTGGCAGAAACGACATGTTTGCAAAACCCTGTAGCACCCCAGTGCCTCCCAGCTGGGCTCTCCTG